TCATTTAGTTTTAGGTCAGTTGATTGACTGTGAGCATAATATCAACTAAAAGAATAGAGGTGTTAAAATCAGGTAATAAAGCAGAACCTGGTTTTGGGACTCCTGGGGCAGTTGTTAGCTTTGCCAAAATTAAAATTACTTTTTGTGATTTCTGTGTGCTTGGGGCTGAAGAAGTAGAGGAGGCAAAATAGGAGAAGTTGATCAAGGGGAAGGTAGGAAGGGAAGGAGGAAAAGGGGGCAGAGAGGAAGAGATGAAGAATAATATTAAATAAGGAGAGGAAAGGGTGATGCAGTCTAAATAAGAGCCATTAGAGTTTTAATAGAAACCAGATGAGCAGCTCAACTGATACACACACACACACACACACACACACACACACACACACACACACACACACACACACACACCCACTAGCGGATTGCGAAATAACAGACATCGTAAAAGTAGCCAACCAATACAAAAAGTATGTAACAGAAACAATAGTAAGAATAATGACACTAGAAAACCTGATACAGGAATAACAGTAACTGTTACTACTGAGAATGGTGCTCATACAAATACCAATATTATTTAGTAGAATACAGTCATATCAATAGTTAGCAAATGAAATGACTACGATGCTTTCAGAAGCTGTTTACAAATCAAGCATTACAGTTTCCTGATCTTACATCACCATGGGTAAAGTTTGGTTAAGTTTAGGCACAAAAACATTCCTGGTTAGGATTCCTGTTTCCTGTTTAGTCATGAATCCTACAGCCACTAGAGGGCTGTCACTGGGACATAAACAGACATCTTTATTGGGAATGAGTTGAAATGTTTGGGTCTGCTTTGTGCACGGGGGCAGTGACATGTTGAAACAGGAAAGAGACAAATACAAACTGACGACAGACATGTCTAAAATATCACTTTGTTTGGAAAAGAAACCAAACCAGGATAAAACAGACCCAAACAAAAAGTTTAAGTATATGGCACAGGGATGTCCACATACTTTGGGACATATAAAAAGTCATTCCTAGAGTGATATTAGAGAATGTCAGTCCTATCACCAATAGTTGTAAAATTATTAGTTTGATAAGTAATTGTAATATTTCCCAGTAAACGTAACCCCTGTCCTCCTTACTGTTGTTAAGGCATGTGAGTGATGGAGGGATGACTGGTATCTCTGTTTCAGGAGAAAAAACCCAACTGACTCACAGCACAACCTTGTGTGTGTGTGTGTGTGTGTGTGTGTGTGTGTGTGTGTTTAGTTCCATATGTGGGAAGTGAGCTAATATCAGAGTCTTCAGGGTCTAATTTTAGAGCTGTGTTTTATTGCAACACCAAGGACACAGTGAGTGCACACAGTCATCTCTCTCTCTCTCTCTTTCACACACACACACACACACACACACACACACACACTGTCCAGATGTTTCCTATTAAATGGGTCCTGGGAGAGCGAGGCCAGGTCACAGCAGCCAGCTGGGCTGAAACTATGACACCAAAAAAGAGAACCCATCATGATCCACAGGCTGATGAGTTCAACTGGCTGATTTATGTGAAAACTACATCACTCACCAGCTGTGACTCCATCATCAGTTGAGAATCACTTAAAGTAACAGTCTTACAGTTTTTGTCCTGTAGTCTTTTTTAGTCAAGGGTCAGATGGTTCAGATGTATGTCAGTCTTCATCTCTGTATCCACTACAGACATTAATTTAATTGATAATCCCTCCTTTTGAAAAAAAAAAAATTTTTGTTTTTATTTACACAAAAAATTAAAAAAGCCAGAGTAACAGTTTGGCCCTGGAAGAGGTCAGTGAAAAAGAGCTGAACTTAACGGACTCAACAAAGACAAACCTGATTTAACGAATGACATATGAGGGGAACATACAAACTGAGTAGTTCAGATACAATGTGAACAAAAACCCATGAACTAAATGAACAACAAATCATTACTAGACAGACAGCTTATTAATAAATTAAACTTAAAAAATAACGCAGCTAAAAAGTGCTCATAAACCTTCATGAAAACCAACCTGTGCTGGTTGTTTAATGGTATAAAATTTGCCTCTAACTGAATGTAAACCTAAATGAGTGAAAAAATAAACCTAAAGTGAAAGTGAGGGTATGTGGACATGATAGTTTAGCAGATAATTGCCATAATCTTTCAAATGTGGACACATGCACCAAAATTTATGCCCCTAGGGCCATTCATTTGAAAAAACCCCATTAGCCACTTGAAATATTAAAATTTCAAGATGGCCGCCATTTCTGGCAAAGGAAACATATATTTTACCACAGAATTTTACCCACCGGACAACTTTAAATGATTTTGTAATTGTCTCCTTTGTTTTACACAATGAGGATGTCAAATTCACAACTTTTACATTTCCTCAGAGCTTCATTTTTGTTATTTTTAATTCTTCATAGAACACAATGTATTATCTAACGATTTATTATGAATGATGAACCAAAAGTTCTGTAGGAGTCAACAGTCTACTTGTTTACTTGTCTTTTGTCTTCTTGTCATTAGCTTGCTAGGCTAATACTCTAGTGCTAGGCTAGTTAGTGAGGTTTTTTTTCTGAGTAATATTTTTGCTGTAATATCATTACGTGTACTAAATTTCTTTTCATTATTAAAATGTATTATTTAACACTTTGATTATTCATACGGGAAAACAGTGGATGAACTTACTGCAAAAAATAACATTTCATTGCCAGAAATGGCGGCCATCTTGAATTTTAAAGTGTTTTATCAAAAGAGTAGTACCTAAGGAGGATTTGTGCCAAGTTTAGCATTTGTCTCCACATTTGAAAGATTTTCCTGAAATATGCAGTTATCTGCTGAGCTATGAAGTTACCAAATGTTTTAGACCAGTGGATCCCAGCGAAGGTATTACAAGTGGGCCGACAAATCATTTGCAAAACGTTACGACTTCGGTAAAAAGATGTAATTATGAAAAAAAAAATACACACACACATTTCTTTCATAATTACATCTTTATATATATATATATACACTGTTTTCTTCCAATATTGTAAGGCAGTTCAATAGACAAATTTCCCGCCTTTCCTTAGCTTGTTGCTAAATGTAGCATGTTGATTAGTCAGTGAGTATGACATGATCACATGTGAAAACACAAGGTGACAAAGTACAGAAATGACCTTAAAGCTTTACACCAGAAAGTGTTTGATGTCTGGGGCTGAGCACAAACAAAAACACATTCCCTTTGTTTGCCAAAAAGTCACCACAGGTTATTTTTCCAGGATTAGAAACATTGTGCGTAGTTAACCGCTCCTACTGATATAAAACTAGCTTGTATGCATCTCCTTCAAATAGGCAGTTAAGCAGGACTCAGCCCTTCCTCAACAGGGACAAAATAGAGACTCTGAGGTTTATTTAATGCATTGACCCTCGCAACTGTGGCAACAGCTGCAAGTCTGAAAAGCTGAACACTGTCTGACAGTCAGCTTGGTGGATCACGCCAAAATATTTGTGGAAGGAAGCTGAATTGAAAAAGGGACACAAGTGACTGATTACTCCATCATCACCTGGGCCGAGGGAGACCATCACCTCTATAGCTCCGTACCCTTACATCTCATGTCCACTCTTGGACATCTCGAGGCCTCAGGTCCAGGAGGTATGGTACATGTGGCCAGAGGTTCAAACTGGTAAGACTGAAGACCTCTGTGATCTTCCAGCTCATTGTTTTGGGGGTGGGTGTGGGGCTCACGTCATCACATGCTACTTTGCCAAGACTCCGCACAGCTGTTTGCCCCCATCTCACCCCAACTCCCCACACTGAATATTTATTTAAATATTCTGGCTGGGAGGAGCATAGCAGGGAAGAGAGTACGTAATCTTTAAATCCTCTCTGGTTAGAGACTGAAATCTCCTCTGACTTGGAGATCCTTTATTTGGCTTCCCTCCCTCCAAAACACTATGAAACTAAAAGATACATGATCCTTAACTTACATGATTATTTCAGATTTTCTGTTTGTCTGTATACTGTGTACAGCTTGGATTTGAATGGTACAAGTGCACTGTGTACTGTATGTCCTGACAGCAGCTCATTGAATGTCTCCATGTATTTCATATATTTTCTGTGGGTTTTAGAGTGTAATCCAATAGTCCAGTTTGAAATAACACAGTCTGATTATCTGATTATCAGTTACTTTTGTCTCCGACCAAAAATGCTTTGTCAAACTGTAATTAGTACTCAGCCACCACGAGACATAATTACCATCACTATAATCTGTTGTGGATCATTTCATAGATGTTATCTCACAGTCAGAAGGTGGGGGCCTGGCATCATCACTGCTTCAGAAATCCAAATTACTTTGATTCCGGTGTCAAATCCTTATTTAATATTTTAGTTCCTACAGACAGGAAGGACATTTAAAGCCCTGAAACCCTCAGCTGATGATTGGATTGAGAACATTAACAATAATTTCATGATACAAAAGAATACCTTTGTCTATAATAAATCATCATGCTACACACTGTGGCTCAGTTCTATTGTTTTTTTTTCAAAATTACTCTTTTCCCTCTTTTTTGTTTGAATGTTTTTATTATTTAGGTTTTAATTATTATTAACATCCTTTTCATTAATAATGCAAGGACAGTTGTTTGTTATAACTACAATGACTACTATGACTACTATTTGTACACTGCCACGTACCCCCCCACAGCATTTTGTAAAATAACATGTTTTGCACAATCCTGTATATACACACACCTTCCAACAAATCGAACACTTGTACATACATGTTACATGTTCATGATAAGTCTGTTATAATGTGAGTGTACAAAGACAGAATGGAGGTGAATGATGGAGAACAGATTGATGAACACTAGTCACTGCTGCTCTCTGCTGGTTCAACCACAGAATGACAGGCTGAAATCTACACTTTGTTAGTTTTATTTGTTTATTACCTCAAAATTTAAGATTCACTGACATACATACATTCAAGTATTATTATGACTTATAGATTGTCAAACAGCATTATATTGTATGTGTTCCTCCAGCTTACTCCAGCCTATAAAGACCCTTTAACAGCATCAGAAGACATTGATCACTTTAGATTTTGATACTGACTTGATTTAGTCCCTATATCAACAAGACTCTCCAAAACTAACACCAACCCATCACATTTACAACCAGGATTATACATGCAATTAAATACTGAATAAACAGTGGATTAAAAGTAAAAGTCAAATTGATTTAAATCAAGTTTATCTCAGGTTTCTTACTTACTGAGTCCAGGCAGCTTGGAGTACAGGGTGTGGAATGGAGTTTTGGACTCTTGGAGGAATTGAAAGGTGTGTTTTAGGCTACCAGTTTCTGTACTTTTAGTCCTGCTGCTAAGCAAGGCTAAACATGCACTGGCTAAACATGCACTGGAGTCTTGCTTCAAGTTGTTTTACACTCGGTACTTCAACATTCATTATTTGAAGTAGTTGTTGGCATCTGTGGTTCAACCAGAAGTTGTATGTTGTATCATTTCCTCTGCAGCCTGCTCCTCTGCATCGCTGCCTGTCTGTTCTCTGCTGCAGGAGAACATCTTCCTGACTGTGTGTCTGAAAGGTGTGTAGAGGTAGAAGAAGAGCAGGGGGTCAAAGCAGAGGTGCAGCACGCTCAGCAGCAGCGTTGACTCCTTCCCCAGAAAAAGCTGCCGCTTGATCTGGCAGTCTTTGATGACTTCGGTCTGGGCCAGCGTGTATGGCGTCCGTACGACGTGGTATGGAACAAAGCTGAGTATGTAGGCCAGCGCCACGGCTGTCACGCTCCTTGCCACGCGCCTTGAGTCGACCCAGAGTTTGGTGTTGCTGCGACTGCCCAGGAGTCTTTTGAGAGCTAATCCACTGGAGAGTAGCACGGCGGCGGAGGCATTGAGGAACAAAGCTGTGCAGAGAAAGACAGTGAGGGCGTGCCAGTGAAGGCTGATGTCTTTCTTCAGGGATGAACAGCTGAGATACTGCTGCACCTGAGAACAGAACAACCGAGGGATGTTTTACAGTTCAAATATGTTGATATTTATTAATAATGCATGTCTGAAACACAAACAGAATGCAACTGGAGCATCCAGTCAACACTTTTCCAGTACAGAGGAGTTACTGTACCTGGACCTGCTGTATGGGCAGAGCCATGTTGGGCACCATGATGAGCAGCAGGAGCAGCCAGATGACCAGAGACAGCAGCCGGGCGAAGCCAACCTCCTGCAGCCGCAGAGAGTGCATCGTGTGGCAGTCCTGCAGGAGAGGAGACACATCAGCAACCAAGACTACCTTCCCCAGAAACAGCTTAACACTGACTCACATCCACATGTTCTGACAATGACACTAGGGTTAACATTCACTGTGTCCAGAAAAAGATTCCTAATGATTGAAATGTTTCCAGCTAATAGAACCTGGTAATTTGATTCAACTCCTCTCAAAAAGGTTGGATTTATTGCAGGGCTGTTGTATTGGATTGCATTCAATTGTTAAGGTGTACCAAATAAGTGTATTACCCATTCTCTCCATATGTGGCTCAGCAGGAAATGTTCTCAGGTAATGATTCCAGGTATTGTTATAACAGCAATTAATTTGTCTATGCTATCACCTGATGGAGAGGAAGTGGGAGGACAGTACCTGAAATATACCGGCTGAGACAGACAGTTTGAAAAATGAATCGATGAGTGTTACACCACTGAGAAATAGGACAGTGGTATATTTCACCTTTGTTGTGAGTTTACAGAGAAAGGTGAGGCAGCCCCACTATACCTGCAGGTAGCAGTCAGTAATGATGAGCGCGAGGAAGGCGATGGATGCATAGAGGCTGATGTAGATGGTGACAGCGCTGGCCTGGCAGTGAAACACCATGAAGCTCCACGGCGCCGCCCCGAGGTCCTTCAGGATCTTGAAGGGCAGAGCGAGCAGCAGCAGGAGGTCGGCCACTAGCAGGTTAACCAGGTAGACGCTGGTGCTCTGCTGCTGCACAGTTACATGTATCAGTTTATCTCACATGACTTCACATCTTCCTCTCTGATATGACCTCATCTCATCTAATCTCATTTCAATTCACATCATCTCGTGGAGACTCTGACCTTTCATCTCCTCTCACCTGAAATTCTTTTAACGTACCTGACAGCATCTCGCTTTCACCACATCACATCTTAAACCAAGGCGCTGTACGCAGCTTGCTGCTCATGTGTCTGCATTGTGGTTCCCAGTCAGATATGCTCTTAAAAAAACAGACTTTTTTTTCAGTTTAAGCCACATTTTAACAATTTACTTTTAGACCTGTGTTGTTTTTAACTGCGTCTTTTAACTGAATGAAGGATTTTAGTCATCGGGCGTATGGACTTAAAATACTCAGTAAAACAAGCTGAATTAACGTCTGCCGCAGTGGCTGATCACCAAACAGCATAAGTATATTGCTGAATTTTAACAAGGAACTGTTTCTTCAGTGCTTTTAGCAGTTTTAATCACCAGCTACGTTGTATCAGAGGTAAGAGACCCCCTGTAGACATTTCAGCTATGTGCTACATGTTCTGACAACAAACATGGCTGTGTGTGTGGATTGCAGTTCCACGTTTGCAAAACTGAAGACAGATACTTACAGTATTACACTTATACAGTTACTTGATTGCAGGCTAAACTCAGGGCAGGAGAAGTTAATCCTGGAGCTATCTTCCATAACCACAGCTGAAGACCTATTTATTTAACTTGGCTTTTATTTAATTTCCCCACATTTTACTCTCTTCCTTGAACCGTCACCTTACCGTGGTGGAGGAGTTTGAGAGCCCTATGACCCTAGTAGCTATGTTGTCGGGGGCATTTTGCCCCTGGTAGGGTCTCCCAAGGCAGATTGGTCCCAGGTGGAGGGCCAGACAAAGAACGGTTCAGAAGATCCTAATAATAAAAAATATTAAGAACCCAAGTACCCGGCTCGGAGGGACACTGGGGCCCCACCCTGGAGCCAGGCTGGGGTTGGGGCCCGTGGGCGAGTGCCTGGTGGCCGGGCCTTGGCCCATGGGGCCCGGTCGGGCCCAGCCCGAACTGGCTACATGGGTTCGTCTCCCAGTGGGCTCACCACCTGCAGGAAGAGTCGGGATCCGGTGCAGTGTGGATTGGGCAGCAGACCAAGGCGGAGGCCTTGGCGGTAACTGGAAACTGGTTTTTGGAACATGGAACGTCACCTCTCTGGTGGGGAAGGAGCGGGAGCTTGTGGAAGAGGTTGAGTGATACCGGCTAGATATAGTTGGTCTCACCTCAACACATAGCGTCGGCTCCGGAACCCAAGTCCTTGAGAGGGGCTGGTCTCTCCTCTTTGCTGGAGTTGCTCCGGGTGAGAGGCGGAGGGCTGGGGTGGGCTTTTTGGTGTCCCCCAGGCTCCCTGCCTGTATGTTGGAGTTTACCCCAGTGGACGAAAGGGTTGCGTCCCTGCGCCTCCGGGTCGGGGATCGGGTTCTGACTGTTGTCGGTGCCTATGCACCGAACGGCAGTTCAGACTACCCGCCCTTTTTGGAGTCCTTGGGACGGGTGCTGGAAAGTGCCCCAAAAGGGGACTCCATTGTCCTATTGGGAGACTTCAATGCTCCCGTGGGCAATGACAGCATGACCTGGAAGGGTGTGGTGGGGAGGAACGGCCTGCCTGATCTAAACCCGAGCAGCGTTCAGTTATTGGACTTCTGTGATAGTCACAGCTTGGACATAACTAACACCATGTTCAAGCATAAGGACGTCCATAGGTGCACATTGCACCAGGACACCCTAGGTCGCCGGTCTATGATCGACTTTGTAATCGTATCATCAGACCTGCGGCCGCATGTTTTGGACACTCGGGTGAAGAGAGGAGCAGAGTTGTCAACCGACCACCACCTGGTGATGAGTTGGATCAGATGGTGGGGGAAGACGCCGCGCAGACCTGGCAGGCCCAAACGGGTTGTGAGGGTCTGCTGGGAAAACCTGGCGGAAGAACCCGTCAAGATGATTTTCAACGCACACCTCCGGCAGAATTTCGATCGCGTCCCGAGGGCGGTGGGGGACATTGAGTTCGAATGGGCCTTGTTCCGCTCTGCTGTTGTTGAGGCGGCTGTTGCGAGCTGCGGCCACAGGGTAGCTGGGGCCAGTCGTGGCGGTAACCCCCGTACCCGCTGATGGACACCAGGGGTGGGGGAAGCCGTCAGGCTGAAGAAGGAGGCCTACAGGGCGTGGTTGGCCTGTGGGTCTCCGGAATCAGCTGACTGGTACCGGCGGGCCAAGCAGAGCGCAGCCACGGCAGTTGCTGAGGCAAAAACTCGGGTGTGGGAGGAGTTCGGTGAGACTATGAAGGAAGACTATCGATCGGCTCCAAAGAGGTTCTGGCAAACCGTCTGGCGCCTCAGGGGGGGATTTACAGTGGGGGCGGGGAGCTGCTGACGTCAACTGGGGATATAGTCGGACGGTGGAAGGAATACTTTGAGTAGCTCCTCAATCCCACCAACACGTATTCCGTGGAGGAAACAGAGCCAAGGGACCTGGGGATGGATGGTTTAATCTCCGGGGCAGAAGTCGCCGAGGTAGTGAAACAACTGCACGGTGGCGGAGCCCCGGGGGTTGATGAGATCCGCCCTGGGTATCTCAAGGCTCTGGATCTTGTAGGACTGTCTTGGTTGACACGCCTCTGCAACATTACGTGGACATCAGAGGCAGTGCCTCTGGAGTGGCAAACCGGGGTGGTGGTCCCCATCTTTAAGAAGGGTGACCAGAGGGTGTGTTCCAACTACCGGGGAATTACACTCCTCAGCCTCCCTGGTAAGGTCTATGCCAGGGTACTGGAAAAGAGGGTCCGGTCGATAGTTCAACCTGGAGGAGGAGCAATGTGGTTTTCGTCCTGGGCGTGGAACTGTGGACCAGCTCTTCACCCTCGCTAGGGTGCTGGAGGGAGCATGGGAGTTTGCCAATCCAGTCCACATGTGTTTTGTGGATTTGGAGAAAGCTTACGACCGTGTTCCCAGGGGCTCCCTGTGGGGGGCGCTCTGGGAGTATGGGGTGGATGGTCCCTTGTTAGCGGCCATTAAGTCCCTGTACCAAAGGAGTGTGAGTCTGGTTTGCGTAGCGGGCAGTAAGTCGGACCTGTTCCCGGTGGGGGTTGGACTCCGCCAGGGCTGCCCTTTGTCACCGGTTCTGTTCATAACTTTTATGGACAGAATTTCTAAGCGCAGCCGGGTGGTGGAGGGGTTTGGGTTCGGTGGCAGGAGGATCACGTCTCTGCTTTTTGCGGATGATGTGGTCCTCTTAGCTTCATCGAGCGCCGACCTTCAGCTCTCGCTTGGGCAGTTCGCAGCCGAGTGTGAAGCGGCTGGGATGAAGATCAGCACCTCCAAGTCTGAGGCCATGGTTCTCAGCCGGAAACGGGTGGATTGCTCGCTCTGGGTCGAGGGGGAGGCTCTGCCTCAGGTGGAGGAGTTTAAGTATCTTGGGATCTTGTTCACGAGTGAGGGTAGGATGGAACGGGAGATCGACAGGCGGATTGGGGTGGCGTCAGCAGTGATGCGGGCGCTGAACCGGTCCGTTGTGGGGAAGAGGGAGCTAAGCCGGAAGGCGAAGCTCTCGATTTACCGGTCGATCTACGTTCCAATCCTCACCTATGGTCATGAGCTATGGGTAATGACCGAAAGAACGAGATCGCGAATACAAGCGGCCAAAATGAGCCAGGGTGGCCAGGCTCAGCCTTAGAGATAGGGTGAGGAGCTCGGTCATCCGGGAGGAGCTCGGAGTGGAACCGCTGCTCCTCCATGTCGAGAGGAGCCAGTTGAGGTGGTTCGGGCATCTGGTGAGGATGCCTCCTGGACGCCTCCCCGGGGAGGTGTTTCGGGCATGTCCCACCGGGAGAAGGCCGCGGGGCTGACCAAGGACACGCTGGAGGGATTATATCTCTCGGCTGGCCTTGGAACGCCTCGGGATTCTCCCGGAGGAGCTGGTGGAAGTGGCTGGAGAGAGGGCCGTCTGGACCTCTTTGCTGAGGCTGCTGCCCCCCCGACCCGGATCCGGATAAGCGGGAGACGACGAGACGAGACGAGACATTTTACTATTCTTACTGGTTTCTGTTTTTATTTTAATTCACATATTTTACCATCTACTGCCTTTCTATTGTCCATTTTCATTGTTGTTCTATTTGCCCCTTATTTTATTGTACTGTTTGATATTTTTATTGTAAAACACTTTGAACTACATTTCTTTTATGAAAGGTGCCCTTTCACTTAAGATGTAATATTTATCTCATCTCATCTGGTTAGATCTTAACTTTCCTTGTCTTTTCATTTTCTTCCTGTTATCATGTGTTAAACTTTGTGACTTCATCTAACTTTGTTTATGTAATGGTCACATTTTAGATCGTCTCATGTCAACACATCATCATTTCATCTCATTTTATCTCACCTTATTCCATCCTCTCTAATCCTATCTATAAATTCCATAAACCCTGACCTGACTTGACTCATCCCATCTCATTTCATCTCTTTCTTCGTGAAATCGTCTCTTCTATTCATTTGGATTATTTCTGTTATTTTTTCATCTCATGACATCTCACCTCATCTCGCAATATAATACATCATTTCACCTTGTAATTCTATTCTATCTCATCTGATCTCATGACATCTCTTTTTAGGTTCCTTGATGTGTTTTAATCACATCTAATTGATCTCATCTCACTTAATCTCACTTCATCTCCTATCACTCACCTAACTGTACAATCAAAAAAAAAAAATCTGTTCTTGAGTTAAATTCTCACCTGCGACATAATCTCACCTCATCTAAGAATTATTTCATTACATCTCACTTTACTTTCTCTCATCACATCTTTCACGATCTTAATATACAGTATTTCACCCCAGGTCATCTTGCATAGTTACATTAAATCTCATTGGATATCATGTCACACAAAACTGCATCAAATCTGATCAAGTAACAGCTCAATTTGATATAAATTCTCTCACCTCTCATTTCAGCTCACCTGACATCATCTAATGTCATGACATCTTATTTCATTGTAACCAATCTTATCTGATCTCACATAATTTCTTCTTCTTCACAACTCCTCAGATGTCTCATCTGACACAATATCCTGTTTCCTCACCTCCTCTTATCTTGTCTCATCTCACTTCATGTTTGTCATCTCAGCTCAAGTCACTCACTATATGCAATAGTTTTTAAAAAGAAAGATCTTCTTGAATTGATTCCTCTCACCTGAGATCCTCATAGCTCATCTTGTCTCATCTCATGACATCTCACCTTATCTTGTTCACTTCATGTCACCTCACATACTTCAGTTCAGTCTCATCTGACATCTTTTTAAATTTCTTCACCTGCTTTAATTTCATCTCATCTCATCTCACATCAGCTCATCTCATATCACCTCCTGCCATGTCCTCTGACACTTCAGTATGACAGCCTGCAGCCTCACCACCATACCTGATGTGTTCTGATCTCACCTCCGGCCCCCTCCAGTTTCACTCAGCAGAAATTCTTACCTGTGCTCTGGGACTGTGGATGAAGGCCCACACAGAAAGCAGGTTTCCAGGCAGACTGACAATAAAGATGAGGATGTAGAGGACAGTGAAGGGTCCCATCTGGTCGTTGACAATACACTCCTTCCCCTGCTCAGCTCCTCCAGCGCTGAAGTTGGAGGAAGGAGGCATCATGAGGACCTGCAGTGCTCACCTGGAGCTGAAAAACACAAAGCATCAAGCGCCTATTTACTTTTACTCATTGCAAATACTTTTACTGTTAAATTCAAAATTAAATATAATTCAGCAAATAAAGTTCCAAAATGGTGTTTGAGTAGAAACAAACGTAACACAAGGTTGTTGTTCTTACTGTGGACGATGTCTGAGGAAGTCTGTATCTTCAGCAGCTGCTCTGACTGTGGTTTGGATGTCTGATGTTCACAGTGAGTTTCACAATCTGGTTAGAAACAGAAAGAGCAGAGGCCGGTGGGAAGAAAACATACTTTTAAATTAACGTTAATACAGTTTTTTAATTTATTTTACATGACACAAATGAGCCTCTGGTCAAATGTTATGCACTTTGTTATGAACTTTAAAAACTGTAAAAACTGTAACTGTGATATGTACAAAAGTAACTGCACTAAGTCAATTCTTAGTAACTCCTTCTTTGCCAACATGTTGCATGGTGATGGAAATATTCTGCTGTGTGGGGTGTGTGGTAGCCAGAGGGTCAGGAAGCACTGTATAGATTGAGGGAAGAATGGACTCCACCACATGTCAGCACATTTATTGATGCTGACGTCCTGCAGTCAGTCAAGAGAGTGAAAGAGAAAAGATACTTCTACAACAGGGCAGTGATCCAAAGCATCCACCAGAGCTGAACTTGTGGAACAGCCCCCACAGACCCCCCCACCCCGACCTGGCCATCGCTGAAAACCTGTGGGTAGCTGTTCATCCTGCTGTGTGAGCAGGACAGACTGAAACATCTCAGAACCTGAAGTGGTCTGCAGGAAGAGGCTGTTCATCAGGGACAGATGCACAACAATTTCTATTTAATGTTTCCTATTATTTTAAGTTGATTAAGTGAAAAGTAACAGAGGATTGACGTTTTTAAAGTTACATTTTTTCATTTTTAATTGCTGCAGAGGTTGGATTCATTTCTTTTCCCTTCAAATATAAACTAGATGTGGAAATTTGTTGTTTTCCTACTCTTGTCTGCTATGAACTTAAATGGTAAATATTCATAATTAACCATAAGTTGAACATTGGAAAATGTATTTATTTATTTATTAATTGTTTAAGACTCAAGAACTTTTGAGTGCAAGTTTTGAGTTTACCTTTTTTCCCACATCTATACACACTTTACTACCAATCCATTTCACAACTTACAACCCTGTGGAACTGTCCCATTATTTATGGTTATGATATAACCTGAAATAACAGACTGGATAAAGTTACTGACCAAAGCTCTCTCAAACAAACATGGTTGGGAACAGGGGCTAGTGAAAGGGGACTGAAGTAGCCTTTTAAAGTAAATTATATCACTATTCTAATCATTTGTAGTTTTATAGATAGAGTATGCAACAGTTTATAATATTCTGCATGAAATAGTGAGTTATGATTTTCATGCATAGTTCCCCTACCTGCATGTTCATCTGTTCACTTCCCTTTCATCCATCTGGTTTTGGTGCAGGTTTTTATAAAGTTGTTTGGTCTACTTGTTGATTCATCCTGTTGAATGTGCAGAAGCTCTGACAGACAATCTTACATGTCAGAGTTATAACAGATCCGGAGGTGACAGACAGACAGGTAAGCTGAGTCGCTGAGCAGGAAGTGAAGCAAACGCTGCGGTAACAGACAAACTGTCTGCAGCAGGAAATCGTAAATAAATAAGGAAACTCTGTAATTTGAGTGTAACACAGAGCTGCTACTGTTGAGTACAAACATGATTCACACACTGAAATTTCCCAGTCAGAATATACATATGATTCAACAAGTGAGCAGCCACCTCTTCTCAGAGGGACAAAAAGTCAGTCTCTATTCCTCTCCATACTTCTGAACAGGGAAGGTCTTTTTTTTAATTATTATATATTGATATTTTAAAGCCCTCAGACAGATGTGGGTTAAATGTCACAAAGTTAGGATGGGTCAAGCAGCAAGCTGTGACGATGGACAGGGGTTTCAGATAAAAAGTTGGAATATGACATTAGAAGAGAGTGTTGGAAGAAGCAAGACATTAAAATTACATACAGTATAGTAAACACACAAGTTGTAGCTTGTGTGTGTTTTAATACCAATAAATGTATCACTGTTTTATGCTTTTGAAGAATAAGTCTGTGTTTGATGTCAGTTAGTGTCAGTAAATCCCCTAAAATCACCAAAACCTCTGACGTGTCTCAGTATTTTCTGTGGCTCTCAGCTCTGAGCACACCACCTCCTACTAAACATGTAAATCTTCAAAAACATGTTAGATAAAAAAAAAGAAAAACTTGAAGACTTAAGGCTAGACAGAGCTTCTTTGTAAGATGTTGTGTGTTGTATAATGTTGCCTTGCTGATAAAGATCTGTAGAGAAGCATTCTTTTTTTACTACCTGGTAAACCCTTCACAGTGTTCCCCATCCATCACCTAAATTCACCACAGTTTCATAATGACCTGAAGATCTGTACACTCTTCTCATAATGTAACATAAAAGATGTGTACTGTTTGGATTTGGATCCGTTACTTCACTGTAGAGCTGTGAGCAGCGCATTGATTCACACAGCCCTTCTTTGACCCTCAGGACCAAGCAGCAACCTCCAGGACTGAAAAATAAAGCCAACACTGAATTGCCAAAAACTGCAGTTCCTCTAATGACCACTAGAGTCTGGCTCCAACAGTGAGTCAAAATTTATTGTATGTTACACCCAAAACACTCCCATGAGTAATTAAGAGATTAAGTAAAACCTTTTTGAACCATGCACCTAGAGCAGCTATTTTCTCACTGCTCCTTGTATTTTGTATTAAATGTTACTCAAACAGAAGGTGATTTTTTTGTTTTTGAGCACTTGTTGGGGACTATTTTCAGTGACGGAATAATCCACATTTGGTGCTATTTGGGGCAACAGGATGATACATGTCAAAATGAACTACTCATAACTAACTCACTGATATGTTTCAATAATTTTGGAAACAGTGGAGCTCCTCCTCCTCAGAGGAACAAGGAGGTAAACCACCAGACCAGTTTTTCAGAGGAACTGATGAACAACATCCTTGTTACCAGTTTGCACTGAGTCACAGAGGCTGGTAGAGCAGCAGCCTAACAGGAATGATGTCAGGACTTCACCTTTCAGTGGAAGGATACAGTAAAGTAAAGATCAAACTGACTTCAGGGTGCTGCAGTCATTCATTTCTCTCATTCAGCTGTGTCTCCATGATGGAGGGCAATACAATGGTTGTGTCTAAAGATTTAGATCCATCAGGGATCTGACCTGAATATCAACAATGTTGAGTCATTAATTACAAGTAATACCTTGCTGAGTAACCAGGAGACGGTGGAGCATGTTCATTGGTGACTTTTGTAAACAGCTGATTCTGTCTGACACATTGGTCCAAAGTAAAAAAAAAACTGAGAAGTAGTAGTAGTATCAGTTTTGAAAAAACTGTAACAATGATGCATTTTAATTTTGGCCCCTTCTCCACAGCAACAGCCCCTGAGGCTCATGGGTTTTGTAGCATCTAAAGTCATCTATCAAACTGACTGCAAAATCACAGACGTATTAAGACTGCTGCACCCCAGAATCTTTGTCGAGTAAATCCTGGTACCCCTAGCTAATGTGCTGCTCCACCCCGTTTACAGTATGCTGCTTGGCAGTGTGAAGTGTTGAGTGGTTTAGTAAAGAGCATTAACTAACTGTCTTTAAAGTGTGTGTGTTTTATTAGTCACACAGAGACAGCAATTACATACACAATCAAAAATGAAATCAAAAATTTTACTGCCCAGTGGACAGAAAATCCTTCACAATACTTCAAACTGTCAGTTATTTTTTAATTTTTTTATTTTTATTTCAGTCACTGTGAACAGAACCAGAGAAAAGAAGAATAAACTGAACTATAGAGGAACCAGCATCACATCTTAGGAGGGTGGTGTGTGACATTCATTGCTGTGATCATCAGTCTGTAAAAGCTCAAAATGAACCTCAATGAGCCCTTACCTCCTGTGCCTGTCCTCTCACAGGTCCTCAGACTACGTGTTGGCTCCCTGAGGACTGGCCAGTTCTCCGGGTTCTCCTCAGGTCCTCGGACTGTGTTTGATTCAGTGAGCTCATGTGCTCAGAGCTGCGGAAGCTGCAGATGCAAAAGAAGGTGTTTTCCTGACTGCAAGCATGCTGCTGTCGTCAGTGTTCACGTCAGACCACAAGCCACGCTTCCCTGCAACACACACAGCTTTTCAGTAACTGACTCATGAATTTGGTTCATTTCAGTAGTTAATCTGTTTTAAAGTGAGGAAATTGTTGTTGAGACATCTGGTTTATCTCACATCTACAGATATTAATGTCACTTAAATATCAATTACCTGTGTGGGCGAGCTGTGGTGATGATTAAGAGTGGGAGGTAATTTTACCCTGATCCTGATCCGGTAGATCCCCCCCCCCACACACACACACGCGCACGCACGCACACACACACACACACACACACACACACACACACACACACACACACATTCACCTTATCAACCTCAGAGGTTCCTGTGTGTGGCTGTTTCTACACCTGTCTGATTATAAAAACCATCATTCACACCCACAACATCATGACTGGTCAACTGTGGAATCTGGACGTGAGGAAGGAGGCAGAGTATGAACTTCTCTCTCAGCCCTTTTTTTCACTCTTCACTCTGTCACTGTTTCTGTCACCATGTTGTAACATGAGCTGACAACAGTGTCTCTTCTCAGTCAGCTTCATCACATGGACCCAGAATGCAAGAACCTACAAATTAGGAACTGACAGACTGAGATTCAGTGATAATACAGATGTAACCCAGCAGCATCTGTACTGCCTATGTACCTAAACTGCTTTGACAATTTATCCCTCTTTTATCAGAAGTTTTTTTTTTCTTTTTCATTTATTTAATAGCTAGAAATGCACTTTACTGGGCGCCAAGTTCAGTATGTTCACACATACAAGGAACTGACTTTGAATGGTTGGTGCCAAAATTCACAGAAAAGAAACTAAAATCAAAGAAAAGAGAAACCTAATTAGGAAATAAAAACAGGAAACAGAGTCTCGTCTCGTCGTCTCCCGCTTATCCGGATCCGGGTCGCGGGGGCAGCAGCCTCAGCAAAGAGGTCCAGACGGCCCTCTCCCCAGCCACTTCCACCAGTTCCTCCGGGAGAATCCAGAGGCGTTCCAAGGCCAGCTGCGAGATATAATCCCTCCAGCGTGTCCTTGGTCGGCCTCGAGGCCTCCTCCCGGTGGGACATGCCCGAAACACCTCCCCGGAGAGGCGTCCAGGAGGCATCCTCACCAGATGCCCGAACCACCTCAACTGGCACCTCTCGACATGGAGGAGCAGCGGTTCCACTCCGAGCTCCTCCCGGATGACCGAGCTCCTCACCCTATCTCTAAGGCTGAGCCTGGCCACCCTGCGGAGGAAACTCATTTCAGCCGCTTGTATTCGCGATCTCGTTCTTTCGGTGATTTCCCACAGCTCATGACCATAGGTGAGGATTGGAACGTAGATCGACCGGAAAATTGAGAGCTTCACATTCCGGCTTAGCTCCCTTTTCCCCACAACGGACCGATTCAGCGCCCGCATCACTGCTGACGCCGCCCCAATCCACCTGTCGATCTCCCACTCCATTCTACCCTCACTCGTGAACAAGATCCCGAGATACTTAAACTCCTCCACCTGAGGCAAAGCCTCCCCCTCGACCTGGAGCGGGCAATCCACCCGTTTCCGGCTGAGAACCATGGCCTCAGACTTGGAGGTGCTGATCTTCATCCCAGCCGTTTCACACTCGGCCGCGAACCGCCCAAGCGAGAGCTGAAGGTCGGCGCTCGATGAAGCTAGGAGGACCACATCATCCGCAAAAAGCAGAGACGAGATCCTCCCGCCACCGAAACCCAAACCCGTCCACCACCCGGCTGCGCCTAGAAATTCTGTCCATAAAAGTTATGAACAGAACCGGTGACAAAGGGCAGCCCTGACGGAGTCCAACCCTCACCGGGAACAGGTCCGACTTACTGCCGGCTACGCGAACCAGACTCACACTCCTTTGGTACAGGGATTTAATGGCCACTAACAAGGGGCCATCCACCCCATACTCCCGGAGTGCCCCCCACAGGGAGCCCCTGGGAACACGGTCGTAAGCCTTCTCCAAATCCACAAAACACATGTGGACTGGATTGGCAAACTCCCATGCTCCCTCCAGCACCCTAGCGAGGGTAAAGAGCTGGTCCACAGTTCCACGCCCAGGACGAAAACCACATTGCTCCTCCTCGATCTGAGGTTCAACTATCGACCGGACCCTCTTTTCCAGTACCCTGGCATAGACCTTACCAGGGAGGCTGAGGAGTGTAATTCCACGGTAGTTGGAACACACCCTCTGGTCACCCTTCTTAAAGATGGGGACCACCACCCCGGTTTGCCACTCCAAAGGCACTGCCCCCGATGTCCACGCAATGTTGCAGAGGCGTGTCAACCAAGACAGCCCTACAACATCCAGAG